CTGTATTACTTAGCGGGCTAGATTTTAAAAAGCACCTAATGCCCACCTCAGGGAAACAAGCCTTTGGTTTCAGTAGGCCTTTCAAGAAAGCTGACTTGGAAGTTTGTTATCCATCTGTTGGAAGTGTTTAGAACAAGGCAAGGATGGTTTGTTGGTTTGAGATTTTTTTCTTTTCCTCTTCTCTCTACCTGGAAGCCCTTGAATTTTTTTCCACTCAGTTGGACTCTGCACCAGTGGCAGACCTGCTGAGCTAGTCGGGCCCCAGAAGCAAACCAAGAGCTAAATCACTGTGCTGTCGTGTCCTGTCTGTTCTGAAAATGGAATTTTCTGGCTTCACGAAAGAATGTGGGAGATGTTATGCATTGGTATGGCTGGAGTATGTAAGCAAAAGTCATTTGCAACCCAACCTAGATTGCAGTTGGCTCTTTGAATAATCCCTATCCTAGAATTTATACTGGTTTGCTTTTCTTACTGGGTCTCGGGATTTATGCCAGTAATAACTGTCAAAAATTTTGTCTCTGCTAGCTAGTTTGGATTATGCATTGTATTTGCCAGCTGAGAATCCCATTGTTACAGTTTCCTCCTCCCCCCCCAGTTGTGTTTCTAGCCTATCTGCAAACATCAGAGTTACCCCCTTTCTAATACTGTGGAAAACCAAGCATAATGTAAGGCCAGCTTTCCTGATCTTTTTAATCGTGACTTCACATGATTTTTCCCTTTAGAGTTGCCATGGCAACACTGGTCTTTTAAAAAGTGATAGTTGCAATTACCAGTAGTTGCTATTTATACGGTTATTTGAGCTGCTGGTAGAGGGGAAACGAGTACATTCACTAAGTAAAACCTTATTTGCACAATCCACATGGTCGATGGAGCATTATTTCCTATATAACTAACATTCCTTGACTCTTGTAATTTTCCGTTTGACTTATTTTGCTAATCTGTTAAAAGCCAGTTTCTTCAACTTTTACATCCTTGTTTCCAGACCTGTTCAAATGGCTGTGTGAAGAGCTTCTGTTTGGTTTCCTCCACACAAGGGGCACAATCTCTTTCATCTCTTCTTTTATAATTGGATTTAGAAAGGAGTATAACTTTCAAGGACTTGCTTACAGTGCAGTAACAACCTAGTTCTTACCCAGTAGTAAAATTTTCATAAAGCTTACAATTAAAATGGTAGTTAAAAATAATGCCTTGAAGTTATGTTCAACAAACAAACGGTATGGTATTCATTTCTAGTTTAATTGTAGGTATCGGTGATACTGGAAAATGATCTAAAACAAGCATGTGGAACAAAGAATTAATATTCTTGTCATCCCCAAAAATGAATGTGAAGTTTTCAAATTGTATGGCATGCCACAGTAGAGGGATTTTAATTCCTGGAGTCTATTAACTTCAGGGTCAGCCTTGCACAGCTTAGATGTCTCTTGTCCTTGGACTCTTCACAGAAATGTGTGTAAATAGCTTCCTGCGATGTTTATGGTAACTGTGTATGAGGCTCATTCAGGTGGAGTAAGGGAGGGCTTTCTGCTGCAGATTTAATACAACTGTTTCTCAGACCTTGGGAACTCCTTCATTACCCCTTCTTGACTCACTTGTCTTTTTTTTTGTCCCTCGTTAAAAGGTGCTGTTTTGTTTGTACTGGTTTGAATCGAGAAGTATAAGTGGAAGGTCATCAGCCTAGCAGAGGATAACACTACATGCTACTGGGTGGGGGTGGGGTGTGGGGAAAGGAGTTCAGTTAGTCTATAAGCCTCTTAGTGGAATTACAAACAAGTTTATGCACCTGTTAGTAAAAGCATTTTAAAGGACAGGAGGTAGTGAGTGTACAAATAAGAAGTGGGTTTCCAGTCAAAGGTGAACATACAAGAAAAGACATGGAAGTAAATGAGAAAGGAGAGTGGCAAAATTAAGTGAAGAAAACATTTTTTTTTTTTATTTCTAAAGAGCTGATAATTCATTATCTTGGAAAGTATCAAAATACATTGATCTCATGCCTTTGTAACAATATAGTTTGGATTTCGGCATGAAACCATACTTAAAAGAAAAATCATGCTGAAAAGCAGTAATGGCCAGAGGGAATTCTTCAAAACAAAGTACATGAATGAATGTATGAGCCAGAGTCACATAGCAGTGAATGCCAAGACCAACTATTACTATGTCTGTCAAGTTTGGGAATGTAAATATCATGCCAAAAATGAAAGAAACCTTCACAAAAGAGTAAATTTCACTGTTGTCAAAACTACACAGTAGTTCATTTAGATACTTTGTAAAGTTGTACCAGAATAATTCATGGTGAGAATTTATAAAATGTGAGAGTTTTGACCGTTCAAACTATTAAGGGAAGATAAATGATCACCTGAAAAGAAGGCTTTCGCTAAAGGCAATCTAATGAGCAAGCAACTGAACATCAGTAGAGATATGAATGATTGCTATGAAGTGACTTGTTATGGTTCACTTCCCGGTTATCTGGGAGTTAAGAATGAGTTCAGAACACAGCTGGGACTTGACTGGTGTGAGTTTTGCATTTGCCTGCCCCTGGTGGATTTGGGGATGGTGCTTACCTCTTCTCTGCTTTCACACCTTTACTTCTGGAACCTGGAAATCTGTTTTAGGGTTTGGAGAGGAGGGCAGGAGGGTTGTGCATGTATGTGTTTGATTTTCTCCTCTAAAATACAGACCTTACTCTTGAAATTCACAGAGGAGGAGTGTGGGGGAGATGGAAAGGTACAACTTAAAATAGCATGCAGGTAGCATTTATGTCACACAGAATAAATTTTATTCCACAGCAGTCTTAGTGTTAATATAGGAAAGAAACTGCTATTCAGAAATACTATTACTGAGATTTTTCTTGATTCCTTATGGGATTGCTCAACCTCCTCAAATTAGGTCGTTAGTTCACAATCATACCTAATAATTTAACCCTGATATAGTATATACGCATATATATGGAGTTGTATAAAGATGGTAGTGCATGTGTAATGGTAGCATATGGGGGTGTAAATAATATGGTCTAAAATACCATGCTGTGTGATTAGCCTCTCAGTACCTTATATCTGGTTTATACTGATACTGTAAACTGTTGTTTTCACACCTGAGCCTAGTGCATTTCAATCATAAATTGTCTTAGCACAGGAAACTAGTGTGAGGGAGCAGGTGGAAGAGGGAGTACAAAAATGACTGTCGATTAGTATTTATACTTTCCAGCTAAAAAAGAGTTTTCATTCTGCAGTGAACAAAAAGCAAGTGAGTTTACAAACAAACTAAAAAGCATTTAAAAGTTTTCAGCTGTTGCAAAATTTTACTTCATCCACTGAGGAACATGATCAAAGGAGATGCTTGGGCTCGCCTTGCTCTGAAGGCTGCTCAGTCCCAGCTTTGATTGTCAGAACACAGAGCTTTGAGTCCTGGCTCAGCTCGGGCAGCTGGCAGCAGTTTGTAGGCTGTCTCTTAACCCTCCATCTGCCTTCCTAGTGCTATCTTTGGTCTGGCTCCATGGTATCTCAAGGATTAGCTGCACGCATACTCCAACAGCTTTGCATGTCTCTTGGCAATAACCAGCTTTAAACTTAATACAGTGGGAGGTCATTCTTCCCATTGCTATGCCTCTTATTTGTTTAGATTTTATTCAGTCGCTGGATCTGCCACAAGCTTTGAATTCTTGCATACTTGGTTGGCTAGTGAGCGCACGTGCATAACTTACTGATAAGTGACACATTTTTGTCATTGTTTCCAGACTGGTGTACGTTGTTAGGCTTGCCTTGTGTGTGCCCTTTTGTGTTCAGTGGTAATCCCCTTCAGATGTTGTATGGTAACATATCTTAATAAACTATTACTTCAGACAAAGTACCTGAATAATTTCATTATGCTTATATAAACAAGTATCGTTGTTGTTTTAACACTTACTTGCCTTTCTAAGCAAAGATGCTAAGGCACAATTGAGATGAGAAAGCAATAAACCAGTTTCCAGGGGTCAGAGTCATAATGGCTGGGTACGTCCCTGCCACCTCCATTCCATACCCAGTGTGGTTAACAATACAGAGTCACCAAATGAAGCACAGAGTTGCCATTGCCTTAAGAATTTCCATCGTGAAAGGATGTCTGGGACATTTTAGTTAGATTTGTACTTACTGGAGAAAAAAAAAAATAGGTATTTCTCAACAGGGAAAATGGGCAATTGTCCTCTCTGGTATCCCTAGGTACTGCAAAGATGCTTATGCCATTGCCAAGAATTTTGGCTTTGATCTGAGAAATAAAATGAGACAAATGAAAACTTAAAAGCAATAAATATTCCATTTCCATTTCACTTCCCAAAAGACCTAAGGATATTACACCAAAAATCTGTGCTGAAGTGCTCTTGCTTGTTCGCCTTGAAACAGCGCATTTGTTACTACTCTGTAGAAAATATTATAAAATCATTTTTGGCTAGGCTGATACTTAAGAACAGCTCTGCTCTAACTCGTATGGTATTTAAGCAGAAAAAAGTATGTGGCAAGAAGCTCTTAACTCTCACTAAAGTTCAGTTGCCAAGTATTTTCTATAGCATGATGCTTTGCTTGGTACTCAACGATCTGTTGAAACACTGTTACTGTTTTACTTTGTTCAAAGGTATTTTGAGCATGACAAAGTATGTCCCTAATTTGGATTTCTTCATCCTACAACTGAAAACTGAATAAATACATTTAAGTCCTGTAACATTTAAGAATAGGTTAACTAATTTTCCCTGCCTTGGAATAGCAGATTATGGCTTAATCCTGAACCTGCACACTCCAATTTAGAAAATCCTGTTCACTTTTTGCAGACTGTTTCTGGAATGAAACTCTGTGGAATAAACCAAGAAATTTAATTTTGTGAATTCTGAAACCTTTAGCTACTACTTTATCCAATTGTATAAAAAAGGAAGAAAAATCAAAGTGTGTATAATTGTTCAAAACAATACGCATTACTTTTTTGTATATGTATATTAATTTGAATTTCAGGCAGGGTTCTCCTATATTTTGCAGATCCTTATGCAGTATTTCCAGATGATGCCTGGCTGTAACACACTGATGACTCCTGCCCCAGAGAACCGGGAGACAGCCTGGAGGGCAAGGAGAACGTCTTGCTGTTCGTTCTCGTGGCCACCGGGTGTCATTCTAGGAGCAGACTTTGGCCAGCCTGGGAGCACTACTATGGCAGCAGCACTGGAGGCCTCACACGGTAAGTTGCTTTGCACCTAATAACCTGTAAAGCAATGATTATTTACCTTTTGTATCTATTTTTAAGAAAAGTCATTATTCTAACAATGTTGTTAATTTCCATTTCTGCATTAAGAATGTGAAATGTTGGGACGTAACATGAAATACTGGTGAATTGAAAGACATTTGTGTTAAGATGTTCCATAAATGCTACATATGCAGGTAGGGAAATTTCTGCACCTGCACATGAAGTTTGCATGAGCTTAAATACAGTATTTCTGAAGATGTTATTACCTATTTTTAATAATTACTTTGTTACTGTTTGTTTTGAGGTTTTACATAACTGATGCTTTACCATTGAAGTGCAGGAAGAATGGGGAGGCAGAATGACTTCTAGGCAGAAGCAAGTAATTTCTTTCCAGTCTTTCTGCTTTGTTCCCCCACCATGTCCAACAGAGAGGGAAGTCCTAGAAAAGGTCCACAGCACCATGTAGGGCATCACTATGGGATTAGGAGGGTATTACACTGCAGAAAGCTTGCTGAATTCAATGTTCAATGTATCTTGCTGGTCTTGTCTAAATAATTCTTAGGAGGGCTTTATGTGAGAGAATGGGCAAATAGGTGCACTGGTTATTTTCAAGAACAGGAATAGTTGCATGAGAAAAGCATGTGAAGAAAAGGAGATGAAAGGTTTAACGAAGTGGAGCGAAGTCTGCAGCACATGTGGCAATGACAGATTTTGGTAGGGCAGAGATTTATGGAGTCTTAAAAGTGAAGATATGAAGCCTGAACTTAAAGCAGAAAGGCACTGAAAGAAAACTGAGGTGTAATCAGGAGTAATTAGGATATTAGAGAGCACTTTCAACATACTGAAGTGAGAGACAATAAGTTGGGTTGTTTTTCTCCTATGTATGTATTTGTATTTTCAGCTTAGCATATTTTCTTCTCTCAGTGATAAAATGCCACTAAATCAAAAACATTGGTATCAATCCAGACAAATTAATCTGGAGACCTAATGTAGAATGCCACTAAATTGCTGAGAAATTATACAAGAGAACTGGGAACGGTCTGATAATGAAGCTTTGCAAATGACATACACCAAAATCTAAGACAGTGATGAAATTCTTGGTCCATGTTGCATGTGATGTTTAAAAAAACAACTCCTATGCATGCCTTATGTAATTTAAGTTCCCATTTATTCCAATTGCCACCCAACATTCAACAAAGATGCTTGTTTAAATATTAAATATATTTATGTAAATATGTATAAAAATATACATATTTAAATGGTGTTTTTCTTAGATGGCTCACAGAGACCTGCCAGTTCTAGCCTGACCTACAGAGCACCCAGAGCCTTTCAGGGATCAGATATAGTTGGACTTCCTGCTAACTTGAGAGCAAGTTTTATGGTGTGTTTATACGGTGCAGGTTTTCAGAGGGTTGGGTGAAAGGGGGGATGGACACATTTGTCCTTCCTTTCACGAAGGCTGATGTTCCTGCTGCCATTTTAGAGCTGGAATATTTCTCATACTTAGAATTCCCAAATGAAGAATGCTCATTAACAGGACAGGTTGCACAAGCTGGTAGCACAATTAATGAAGAAATCCTTTACATTTCTTGTTTTCTGCCCTTCTCATCAGTCTCAGCCTGCCTTACTCATACCTTGGGAATTTTTTTCTTGACTGTGTGGGAATTCTGTTATAAATGTCATGCTTGCAACTGGATTGATTTAAAGATTTTTCTGAAGCAGTTGGACAACTTGTGATCATCAGATAAGTGAAACACAAACTCTGTTTTCATTGGATCAGACACAGGAACATTTAATTTTTGTTATTCTACTATCGTTGCATTTCTAAAAGAGTCAGAACTTGAAAACTTGCCTCTTTTCAAACCAATCCTTGTTTTAAGAGCCATCTATTGCCAGTAACTTTTGTTGTGAAGGTAATTCCATGAAGCATGTAAGCCTCCCAAAGAACTGATTTTCATCTGAGCTGTTTATACATTACAAAATTAGTCTTTTTGTAAACACACATTTCAGATAAATTTGTGTCCCCGTTGTTCTGTGTGCTTAGAACCATTATTGTCTCTACCATGCTGTGCTGGTATTAGGTTAATCAAGGTGACTACTCTCTCACATGATGCTTTCCTTCCTCTTCCCCCTCAAATTTCTTTCCAGGAAGAGAAAAGGGTATATTATGTTCTATATGTATAGTTGAAAGGGCTTACATACATGTGCTACTGTGCAGGTGTTAGAGATGGCAAAGCCAAAATAGCATGTGTGATCAATTCAGGAGATGTTCCTTGCAGTAGCTGCTGATATGAGGAAATGCTGATATTTTATTTTTTTCTTCAGGCTGGAATCTGCTTTGTGAGTCCTTTGGGGCCATCTTCTGTGTCAGGCTTCTGACAACTTGGAAGAAAAAGTCAGGGGACTCAAATGCAGCTGGATGATAGGGTATTTCCTAGCAACTAAAAAGAGCAAAAATGCTAAATGTTCAGGCTAAGCAGGAGCATAATGTCAGTGAAACCTGAGGATCAGACAAGCGTGGTTGAGCAGTTTGGAACTCAATAGTACAGCACTGTGCTACGGAATCCTCCAAATCTGTTCCTGTGCATGACAGCATATTCCTTTGCTTCAACTAGCTGATTTTAATTAAGAGTTGAAGTAATTCAAGCATTGCTTTGGCAAAAGTAATATGATCAGAGATTGTGGATTATTTTAGTGTTGCTATTTTTCAAGCTTTAGTGCTCTATTAAAAATCACTTTGTGTCATTTCTGATCACTGCTTTAAAGATTCACTTCTATTGCCAATAAACCTGCTTACTGGAATAATACCACGAGGAAAACACAAGCCATGTCCAGTGGCCAGACGTAGGCATTAGAGGTAGTTTTCAAACTTGAAAAAAATTATGTTGTTCCTATTCCTTGAGGGTCCTTAATATTTTAGTGTGTTCTCCTGGATGTATGCCACCAATTTGAAAGTGAAAGTGATATCATTTGTCAGCTTCATTCTGCCTGAGGTTATAATAATACACAGTTCACCCAGAACTGTTGGTATGTCTCTCAACCATCTTTCCTTTGCAGCAGAGTATTTACTGATTTATACCTGCCTGAGGGAGCTTCTTCCCAGAAGCTGTCACTGGCAGTACAAGTCCCACCCAGGCTCTTTGCAGGCTGATCCTTGACAGGAAACACTCCTTAGCCCCTGGATGCTGTTAAGAGCCTCAGTTATCTTTTGATTCATCTTCTGTTCATCTTCTGTCTTCCTTCTCCTCACCCTAGCTCTACACAGGCTTAAAAGTGAAACAGAGAGATCTACTTAGCAAGTCAGGATTTTAAGTAAAGGATTGAAAACAAATAATATACTTGAAAAGCTCTAAGCTAGGATTGTGTTTAGCAGCTCAGGTCATTAGCCACCTAAACTATTTAACTTGCTTTATGTTACTTATTTCTTTATTTATGTTATTTATTTATTTATTTAGTTATTTATTTGTGCCCCAGCATCAGTGCTAGGAATTCAGTGAGCAGTGACACCTTATTTCCCAAATGCAGCAGTCCCTTCCAAATTTTCTGCTAATCCTGCTTCTTGCCTTGGTGGTAAGTTTTAGGAAAGAGATGAATTGCCATGAAGGAAATGCAGCTAGAAGTAGAAAACCTCGTTACTGTACAGTGTTTCTGTCACCTCAACTGATACCAATACCCAGTTTATTGGGTCCAAAGTGAAGCACTTCTTTTGACTGGCTAGTTTGATTCCTGAAGAGCAACTCGTGTCTTAGGCAGTTGGACAGATTGTGCAGGGCTGTTCACTTTGACTTCCGAGGCTTAGTAGTTTCATTTAGTTTTATCCTGTGGCAGGGGGCTGGAACTAGATGATCTTTAAGGTCCCTTCCAACTCAAACCACTCTATGATTCTATGATTTATATTAAATGTTGCTACACGCATATTCTATCACCAAATTTGTCTTCTGAGTGCACATGAACTATTGACACAGATAACTGATCTAAGCCACATACTGTTTGGCTTAGATATATCTATGAGATAAAGTCTTGATTTGTGCAAGTGTGTTCCCAATATGTTGTCTTAATCTGTATTTGAGACAGAAAGGTTTTGTTTTTATTTCTATATCTTTTTATCACAAGTTACGATAAACAGTTTTGGGGGTTGCGTGAGATCTAATTATACTATTGGGTCCTTAACGAGACAGAAAAATGGTATGTTGCATACAGCTAGTAATTACTGGGAGACTCGGAAGATATATTTGAAAGAGATCTAGTGGTAACTGCTTAAAATACTGCAGCTGCTGCAGAGTTTGCTTTTAATGTTAGGGTGGGTATATATTCATACAAAATACATCTAGTTGCCAGTCTGACATAACTAGTAGTTGTCTTGTTTATGATGTTGAGCAATCAGAATGAGGAAAAAAAATACCACAAGTTTCAGGTTTTCTCATTTGGATCTTGGGTTCCTTTTCTTTTTAAGGGGATGATATTGTTGAATATCTAAGAACTACAGGGGCTGAATGTATTGCCTAGAGCTGGGTACTACGCGGCTGTGTTTCACCACCCCTTGTGGAACTGTTTAAAAGAGGGGAATAAAAAGAAAAATCATCATTTTGCCAGAAGAGAACCCTCTTCACAAATGTCTGCCGATAAAGAAGCACAGAGAGAGAAACATATGCTGCTTGTTGATGTGGTATCATCCTCTTCTTGGATACTTAGGTACCACAAAGACCACAGAATAAGGGAAGGCATCTAGGCAGGCTCTTTTATGGCTGAATTGTCAGGTTTAGACCCCGTTGTTTTTTTTCCCAGGAGCACTGGGAAGTGAATCTTACATTCTAGCACCAAGCAAAATTCTTGTTTTCGTTCTAGTAGTATGATTCTAAGTTGGGACCCTTCAACTGCACACGAGTGGCCTGACCTCTGCTCAAAAGGCTGAAGTTTGTGTGGCTTCCTCAGTCTGAGAAAGCTATCTGCTGTTGATTACTGTTGCATGGAATAAGATGTTCTTGGTAATCCAG